GTGTGCATCCTCCGCTTCTCCACGCCGGCTTGGCTGCGGTCGGGGGGGGCAGGTCCCCGGCACCGTCCCAAAGGGAGGGGGGTTTCTGTGGGGTGCAGCAAGCTTCTTCCAGCTTCCCACCCCTGCCAGCAACCACTCCCGGGGCTGTCTCTTGGGCAGGAACCCACGCTGGCCTCCTCACACGTACCGTCCAGCGTCTTAAATGTCTCTTCCTGCTTCCTACATGTGTGCTCTTTTACCCATAAACACATATCCTGGGCGTTTAGTCACGGAGGGTGAGATGGTCTGCCTGTTGAACCCAGTGCTGCGTGGCAGCCGTGAGCCCTGCTCCAAGGGCAGGCTGTGTTGGTGGCGGTGTCTGCAGTCTCCTTGCACAGGAGGTGCTCGTGACTGGTGGGTCTGCTTCAGAGCGGTGTTTCATCGGCGGCCGGGAAGGCCATAGTGATGACATCGGGTTCTCGAAATCACGACGCGCTCTGTACCAAACAAAGGCAGAAATCACTGGTCTTTACTATAGGTGGACGGGCCACCTTTATTTAACTCGGAAAAGGAACATGTGTAAATTTTATATATGTTTTATAAATAGCTTTTTCTGACTGTTTCCAGAAGAGCTGTTTGCACATCCATTCTTACTGAGTCAAGCCGTCATCCTGGAGAAATACTGATTAAGAGATATTAATGTATCGCAGCATATATACATAAACCGGCTGAATTAAGGTTGCATGAGGCATCGAAACCAAACTTACTGCAAAGGTTTTGGACTTTGCTGTTGCATGGTGGAGTCAGAGTTTCAGAATTAGGGCAAAACAGAGGGCAATGGTGTTTCCCCATCTTTAGACATTGCAGCACACGAAAGCGGGGCCAAAATACACTGCGTGCTCGTTACTAACAGTGTGGATTTTTTCAGCAGAAGACCCTGAAGGTGTACTGGGGAGGAAAGGAATTACCCACATCTGCCAGGCCGGCGTGCCTTTCCGTTTGAGTCATGGAGTGACTCAGCTGACGTTGTAGTAGATGCTGTGCAGGAGGTAGCTGATATTTCTCAACTGAGAGCTTCAAGGTTTAGACGAAGTTGTGACACACATAAGGGGTGCACGAGTCTGTGCGCTGTGGCAATGTTAGGTAGAAACGTAAACTGGGAGGAAAGCGGAGATTGAGGGAGTAAAATACGTAGGTCAGCTGTTGTGGGTTGTCCCAGTGGGCAGCTGAGCCCCCCACCAGCCGCTCGCTCACCCCCCAGCAGAATGAGGAGAGAAATGGGAGGGTAAAGGCGTGCGAACTGGTGGGTGAGGCACAGACAGCTGAACAGGGGGAGCAAAAGCTGCACGGGCAGGGCAAAGCCAGGCCCCCCCTCACCGCTGCCCATCCAGGCAGCGTTCAGCCACCCCGGGAACGCAGGGCTCCGTCACGCGCAGCGGTGACTTGGGCAGACAAACGCCCTCGCTGCCATCGTCCCCCCTTCCTCCTGCGTTCCCCAGCTGCTCCTGCCGAGCGCGGTGCCGCACGGTCTGGGATGTCCCTTTGGGCAGCTGGGCTGGGCTGTGCCCCCTCCCAGCTCCTTGTGCCCCCAGCCCGCTCGCTGGCAGGGCGGGGTGGGACACAGAGACCTTGGCGCTGGGCGAGCCCGGCTCAGCGAGAGCCACGACATGGGGGGGGTGGCACCGCCGGCGTGGTCACAGATCCAGAGCCCAGCACCGGACCCGCTGAGCGGGGGCTGGACTGGGTGACCTTCAGAGGTCCCTTCCATTCCATCGTTCTGTTAAAGCAAGAGAACTCTAGCCCAGCCAAAACTAGCGCAGTATTTTTGAAAAACTTTTTGCCTGCATTTTACTTTTTCTAAGCTTCCTGCTCCCTGGGGAGTCCGCGGGCAGCTCCAGCTCTCGGGGCTCTTCAACAGGACAGAAACAGTCCTGCTCTCGGGTCACGGACAAGCGGAGCACAGGTTTGGAAAGCTGCTTTGGAGAGTCCTTCTCCATTATAAGCACTATAAAAAATCGATATTTATGATTGACCTACAGAGGAATGTTGCTTAGTTACTTTAAATCCTGTCTGGGGAGAAAGAGAGCGAGATATGGACACACAAAGGGAGGTGCTGCTGCGAAGGTTCAGGGCAAAACGGCTCGAAGAGGGAAATATGAGACTGTGATAAAAATCACCGAGAAGAAAGGAGAGAGAGATAAGAGGCTGGTTAATGATTGTGGTTTCCAGGGCCACCTGCCCTCAGCAGGGAGGTGGGATGAGGGAAATCGCCCATCAGCCCAGGCATGGTCTTGTGGAGAGATGTCTCTGCCTCTCTTCTCCGTGGGAAGTTCAGGTTTTCACAGCTGATCTCAGACTAGAGGAAAGTTCAGTTCTTTGTAGTCAGGGAAACACACGTTGGGAGAGGACCCGTGAGAAGTCCTTTTGCTTTCCTTAGTGGTTTGTGG